ACACATCCTATTGCCGATAGAAACAGAAAATTACTCAACTGACCCCAGCGCCAGCAAGAACACTTAAAAGGAATTTTAGCGGATACGTGACCTTCGCATAATATTTAGGAAAATAGTTGTTCTATAGACATTTTTACGTCGGTTAGAGTCAATTATCTAGCTATTTCATAGCCTGTTCTGAAACCATTGCTTTATGACTTGATTTGGTGCTTAGGCTTGCTGCTTGAGCGGAATGCGCACCATCATGCCTTCTTTCAAGGAACGAGGTATATCACCCTCATTTTAACTGTCGGTATGCATCTTAAACAGCAAATGCTTTATATCTCTCCAAAATATGTTTTAAAACTCAGCCGGGAATCCGTCACTTCCGAACGTTCTGTCGTCTTTTTATGTACCTCGCTACCGTTGACGGAAAGTATTATCTTCGAAGATCATGACAGAGTTGAGGACTATCGCAATTTAGGTCATTCAAACTCACCAACAATAGCTCTCTTGTTTACCATTGTTAATTTAGTGGCATTATATCTTCCATTATCACTGCCCATTTCGATGTTCAGAAATTCAACTCGCGTTTTATTGGTCAGAACTAATACCGCCTAGATGCATGAGAAAAGAAAGCTACTAACACATTCGAAACCCATGCGTTTCTGACCCAGTCTCTTTCCCTCTCTGATAATGAACATCTTGAAGACAGCAGATGTGAAAGTTAGATTGGCTCAGAAATTGGAGCACATCTCGCCTCCTTTTGTAATCCGCTAATCGGCGACAATTAATCGAATGGATCCGTACGTCACTCACTTTGTGGCAAAAATCAGTTCTGTTATGTCATTCATCTCGCCCGCTTGCTACAAAAAGCGACTATCGGCTACTCTATTCACAGCGAGCGACCAGCACGAGGTCATTACAACGGTGGATGCTAAGCTGGCCAAACAGCTACCAAAAAGCATAGCGCTACTGAGAAAAAGGCACGCCCACCTGATACACACGCGCACCATGCGTGACAACAAACAGACACACATAGACCCAATAACACATACGTAGAGCCCGCGCCTGAACATACCCTAAGCTTTTACACGCCAATGCATGCGACGCTGTTGAAAGAGTCAGGTACGCTCAAAGACCTGGCAAAACAAAAACTCCCGTCCTGGGTGACGCAAACTTAAACACAGACTTCCTGCAATCCGCGGCAAAGGTTAATGCTGAGAGAATACAAAACTTTAAGCGCCTGGCGAGCGATCCAAAAACGCACCCTGGAGACAACTTTGCCACACCTCCCCTGGAATTCCCGAGAAACGGGTCACCAACTCCATCCCAAACATGACACAGAGCACACGATAACATGGAAAAAGTTCCTGTCACGCGACAGGAACTTCCCTGACAACACGAGGCGGGAAGAACGGAAACCATCGGGACCCGGCAGAAAAAGAGCAACCCGAAACATCCAAAGGGCACCCCGCTTCCTACAGTACAAAACCCGACTTCAGAGCCGGCTATCGCAGAACCACCTGGATGGCCAGTTCACATGACTTCTCGCTATTATCTACACGTACACCGGCTCCGTACCTTTCTTTTTGAAAGAGCAGTTCACCGCATCCAGCGTAAGAGGTGTGAATTTTGTTCGATTTCTTTACCGCCAGAAGACTGCGGTAAATCTTCCCGCGAAAGGCTGTCAAGCGTTCATTAAGAAACAAGTCCTTACCTTGTAACTCACATCTCCGCTCCATTATAAGATCAAGGAGACTTCCCTGTCCCGCACGCACAAATGGGACAGTCACCCTGCTGTTTGGCCCAGGCAGTCGAAGGAGTTTGGCCCAGCGTGCCCGGCCGATGAAACGGTCGTCCATTCGAATATCCGAAAAGCACTGGTTGATAATGCTGACGACGAGGCCGTTGATGTTCTCCTGTTGCTGGCGCCGGCACCGCCCCTGCGCGGCCGGTTCCGGTCAAGGACGCCAGAGCGCCCTGCCTGAGGAGCGCCCGCGGGGCCACCCGCGCGCCGCAGGGGCGGCTCCGGGCGGGGCGCGTGACACTCGACGCCACGCGCTCACGACACAGAACGAAACAGGCAACCTGGAGACCACCTCAGCTTTCTTTAACCTGTCTCGCGGAATCTTCATCTCCGAAGTTTTTCTCTCTCCGTTTGACGATTTTCAATAAGGTTGTCTTTATCTTCGACGTGGCGCTCGAGATCCCTGAGGCGATCGTTAGAGGACTCGAACCGCGTGCGAAAGGCTTCCTTAAAATCGTTCAGCCTTGCGCCACGGTACCCGAGACGCGATTCTGTACCTCTTCTAGTGCGGTACCCAGGCAGTCCTGAGCGCTGCTGGTGGGCCAGGACTATGTGTTGCCCAGGGGGAACTATCATGGACGCCACGCTGCTCGTCGGATCCGTCACACTTTCCCTGGCCGTCGTTTCCGTCCGTCTGCGAAACGTGTGACCTCACCAGTTCGCTCACAGATGATCTCTCAAACAGCAGGGGTGCCTCCATTCCTTCACTGCCATCTACAACCCGGCCAGTATTGCCCGACTTTCCAGACATGGCCACGAGGGAGCCCCTTCAAGATCAGGTGCACACGCCAATGCCAAATAACCGCAGGCTCTTCACAGCACACTTAACGCGACAACCTGCATTACGCTCGCATCAAGTCGCTCACTATTTCACCCACGTTGAGGCGACCCGCCGCCACCGGTATCGCTGCGAAGCTCGATCCGCACCCGCCGGCGATCAAGGGCAAACTGCAATCGCTCCAGCCTAGTCATCCAGATGTTGTGCGGTGAATCCAAATGAGTACGCCGGTAATACAACAGAAACCGTGGGCGTAAAAACTGAGTGCATCGTATTTCACATAGGCCGCACGTGAATGCAGTCCACCCATCATTCCACTGGTGCGCCAGACCGGCGCCACCGTCGCAGAACAGGCCCCTGAGCTCTGTTGGCCGGTAGGCCGCTGGAGGTGGCGCGGCCACACACTGGCTGCTCACGTCTGGCCTTGCAGCACGACACCGATGATTAATTTGCATTGCCATGTCGCCGATGTTTCCCGCCGCGCACGGCGCCCGCCCGCCCCACCGCTGGCGATAACCCATATGTCACACCACGAGGTGCGCTTTGTACCGGCGCAGGACGAGAATAATCAAAATGTGCACGAATTCGTCCGTTCGTTAATAACGCTATGGTGCTCATCTATGTACATCATTATACATCATGGCGAATGCGGTGCTATTTTCATTCTCACATCTTCCCTGGCTCTGGCTCATTACTTTGTGGCTATTTGCTGCATGTTTTCCTTGCCCTGTGGCCGTCCGCCACCATAGAACGCCCCAAGCCGCCCCCTACCGTCGCTCTCTAGCTCTGGTGACGGTGTGGCAATGACAGAATCATTAAGCGACGGCAGAAATGTCGCCCCCGCGCTCCCTCGTGGTCAAGCCTGAATGGCGAGCAATTTCTGTGCTGGCATAAGGTAATACAAATACTAGGCAAAGCAGAGCCGAGGCCACAGCACAGAGCGCATGGGCTGACGTTGGCTAGCCGAGTTTTTCAAATGGCAATTTTCAGAATGCCTATATTACGCTAAATTGTAGTAACTTGGCATTATTATAATAGAGCATTTCTCTCGATACCGTCTGAAGTATGACACAGGAAACGATACGCCGTGGCCGGCGGAGAAGTGGGCTACATTTGCACTAACAAGCCTGGAAAACCTGTTTCAGTGATGGGGACCACTTTTGGTTGGTCTCACGCGTCCCTGAAACTCTGGACGTGATTTCGCACTGCAGAAAGTCAACTGGTTTCCATTGGTTTGATAATAATTGCTTGATATATAATAATTGCTTGAATAATAAATAATTGATCAACACCTTGATGTGTCATATGGCTATCATTTTATCCGTCCTCATCAAGTTGTCTTATTTAGACATCTGCTCGTCATAACAAGTAGACGTCATAACATCTGTAAGATCCAAGTAAATTGGAGCACACACCACACTTACGACATAAAGTGCGGCTTTGAGAACAAAAAACAGCAAAGTTCGTTTAGGCAGAGAAAATATTGCTATAAATTTGCATGCCTCATAGAAAAAACAATGCTCAATAGGCCACGAGGCCACTCACTGCGCTGGTAACCTGATTAAACCAAAAACTGAAAACAGTCAAACGACGCATCGGATCGTCGAAAGTTCAGCGGCATATAGGGCTGTACAAGGATGATAACTTTGATTAGCGAGGGATAGCAATATTTGGATAGCATTCCTGCGAAATTGCTCAGAATCCAGTATAAAGCCATTGGCCAGGGGGTAGGCCATGACACCTTGGTTATGTGCCCGTGTTCATAAAGCCAAAACAACAAGGGAATTGTAATGCAACGATTTTGGTGTGTGTAGCGTAATACAATGGTTTGGCGTAATGCGAGGCGGCACGCGGCGATCTCGCGCCGAGATTGTCGCATGCTGCGGCTGGCGGTGCCAGCGGCCGTTACCGTGGCCGAAGCTAGCTACTGTGGTAGTGAGCGGGATAAAATCGCTTGCTGAAAAACAATACATCAGATGGCTACCTAATGGAGGCATGGTCCGGTTACCTTTACTAATTACCGTATGCAAATACAGTGCCGGCGCTCATGCTCCAGCACCGCAACACCACCTGCTGTTTAGAGGATTCGATTCTCATACTGGGACGGCTCATTAATGACCTTTTCCGGCATCGCTGGGCAGCCGCTGTCGCTGGCAATCGCAATTATCGCTGTAGAATACGACACGCATCGCTTGTCGATCCTACGGAGCTTGCCAAATATCAGACTAATCCACGGATGTAGTCTGGTGCTGAACACAATCATGGTACGAAACAGAGACAAACGGTACATTCTTCTCCTGGAACGGTACACATCTACCACTGCGGTAGAAACCATGTGCGAAAAATACAAGGAACCAAATAACCAGACCCCATAACGAGAGACAGTTCGTCCACGTCAGCGTGTGCATGATGCACACGACATGGATAGCTTACCCCAGCCGATGATGTAGAAAATTAGAAGACTCCTCTGTTCAGCAAACGCAGAGGCAATAAGTTTGTGGAGGTAATAGCTCTCACAGAACTGCCACAGGTAGTTCGTAAGCCGGCAGTACTTGGTCATAATAAATAGTATCTTGCAGCCCACTCCATTCTGAAACAGTGGAGAGAACGCCGTGAACAATAAATAACTCCATTGGTTCAACCGCGGGATGCTGGAAATCGCTTTCGCAGGTATTTCGCAAGCATACGTCATCATCGTAAAAAACATTGCACTATGCCATGACACTCCCAAAATATTTTGCAAAGTCTCAAGAGGCACACTCAACAACATTCGCTGAAAAACTATCATGAGGACAGAACTCAAGTGGAAATGGCTGAGTGGAAATGAGTAGAATATTATTTACATGAAACAAATTTTAGAATCATGGTATCCGCATTACATCAGAAAATTCTATGCTTTTGTAGAGCAGTCTTGAACGGCTTAACGTGTACTGCATCTTTGAATGTAAAAAACCAGCCAAGTCCACACATCCAGACAGTACCTCTACATGGTCCAGAGTGTGAAAAAAACTGTTAGCTTACCGCATTCACACACTGCTAAGAAAACAACATCCCTACCACGTTCATACACTGTTGAGAAGAAGGAAACATCATACAAAACGATGACTGCTTTGCCGAACATTCTAAATGCTGCTCTTTGCTAGGAGTTAAACTAAAAATGATGTAGATATGCACTTTGCTGCGCAACCCATCTAATTCCTCCCATTGATGACAATCACATCGGCGCTAGCCCCCTAGACACATCGACCGCGAAAACATGACCAAGATATCGTAGGAGTAGGTTGTCGGGGAGTGGCAGGAGTGGGATTGGCTGGTTCGCGGTACGATGTTTTACTTGAGGCTCCGCAAATTGTCTTTACTTGCCGGATTAGGCCATGCTTTTCGCCATTTGCCAAAAGAGCGATTTCTGAAACAAATTCTTGTTGTGTGTTTTCCGCAATACTCCATCTTTATTATTTTGGAAACGCCAGGAATCGCATCCCCGTAAGTCCACGTCATGAGCAACGGCGAATTAAGGCGAGGGTTAAGACACCCCTCGAGCGCCCTTGGTCCCCAACTACTGAAGGAGACGACCGGCCATTTTGCCCCCTCTGGCCACATGCGTGGTACTGAGAGCAGCCAGCCGGCGACCCGGCCTCGACCGACACCACTCCCCGAGCCGGTCTCCGTCCGCTCCCCACCGATCCACTATGCACGCGCCCCCCGCAGAAGTGGCGCAATTGATAAGGTGTCACGCTTGACGCGCAATATCATTCGGAGAACAAATGACCGTTTAGGCCGCGGCGTCTCCCGGCGGCCGGGCGGAGCGCCCGACAGCCACCGGAGTTGATAAAGGGCCGCCAGCAGCACGGCCGGCACTGACGCCGGGTCTGCAAATGATGCGGCCGCTGACGGTGCGTTTTTAGGAAGAGATGGTGGAGAGTAATAGCAGTAGTGAGAAGTAGCTGGGCTGGGGTGGTGGTGAGTTTGTTAAGCTGAGCTAGCCGTGAATTAGCTGGGTGCGGCTAACGATGAGTTAACTGGGTTTGCTGGTGATGAGTTAACTGATTCGGAGTGGAGGTGTGTAAGCTGGGCCAGGCTGTCGGTGAGTTAGAGTTTGGGTGGATGGCGAATTTATCGGGACGGGTTCGAGGTGAGTCTCTTGGGTAAGGCCTTCGGATTGAATTAATTGGGTTGGTTTGGTTGAGAGCCAGCAGCGCCCTCTCAGCGTTAGGGGAGAGGAATGTTTTTCGTGCGGCGCGACGGCCGCGCGCCTCGGTGCAGCGGCCTGCCGCTGCGTCCGGCTCGACGGTGAAAAACGGACACAGGTGAGGAAACCGTCGGATTTGAGTGAACTATCTGAAGAATTGACGTTAATTGAGGCTCGCAACTCCTTTCACAATATAGCAGTCAGCATGAGCCGACCATCTACGATTTGTTTAGACCATAATATACCAACCAGCATCGGAACATAGAGGGATTTTATCACTTAACCCGTAAAACATCATTACGAGCTAATACCGACGGCGGCGTTCACAGCACGCCCAAGCGTGAAACGATAACGCTGATCGATGATCTTTAGGCGAGTGCGCTGGGCGTCCAGCGAGTGCGCTGGGCGTCCGGCGAGTCACCTGGGCGTGAGGCGAAGCCCCGTTGCGGCAGGATAAAAAGGTTAGGTTGTTAGGCTAAATCCTGGGAAGTTGCCTGCATTCTTAGGACAGTGACGTCCTTTGTTATTAACATGCCCACAAAAATCCTACGCTGTCATTACGCATTGTGCCCGGCGCGGCCGCGACGGCGCCAGGGTAGAGGGTGTATGGCGCGTTGTTTATATCGTTCTGCCGTAATTATTGTGCAATCGCTTGGGAAAATAGGGCATGGTATGTTGAAGCACGATTGAACGGATCGCAAAAATATTGAGATTAATCTTCCTTTCAAATTTAGCCACTAGCATGATACACCAATCACAACCGAAAAATTGTATGATGCAGCCTTTGAGATGCATTTTGATCATTTTCAGTTCCCCAGTCATCATTATCTGAACTCGTCTAGGGGCAGTTTGGCTCATTATATGCGCAATATTTTCGGTGTCCAGGGCCAGTTGCGACTGATTGTGAACAGTAAGAATCAGGTCTACTTCTCGTATCGGACGGCATGACAGAAAACGCTGATGCCTAGAATAGAGCCTCACCAAAGTATTCCGGTCATTACTCAAATTTAGAAGATGGACGGGGCATGGAATTTCTTCCGGGATCGCCATCGATTTTTGCACTATTGATGTTCATGCGTTATAGGGATAGAGAGCATCTCAGTTTAAAGGTGTGTGTGGGGGGGGGGCGGGGCATGACACCTCAATGACAAACGAAGTGGCAGCTACGATTAATGCCATCACTTACGGGTCCTGCACTATGACCAACATCTACACAGATGAGCGGCGATTTGACACCTCACCTCATGACACCTCAATGACAAACGAAGTGGCAGCTACGATTAATGCCATCACTTACGGGTCCTGCACTATGACCAACATCTACACAGATGAGCGGCGATTTCGTTAACTTCATTCCCCCGGTCATTTCCTGGTGTTGACAGTGGAACGTGCTCTCGGGATTGATCACGGGCGCTTCGTTTCACTGGTATACACCGGTTCGCTACGGGCCGAATACCGTTCATGGTTTGATAACAGAGAGCCGTATATAAGACTTTGCGGCACTACTTTTGAGCTGTATCTCAGGTTTTTGTGACACCACGAACCACCACCGGTGTCTTTGTGGGTGGGGATGGGGGGGGGGAGAGGGGGCAGCGATAGCAATGACGGTATGCTTCTGTGCGTGGGAAGGCAAAGCCAATTTCTCCACAGGACTAACGTCAAGCATTTCACCAAAAGAGCAGGTGAAGAATGCCCTCACCCTCACACCTAGTCCCAGAGCCAGCTTTTACAAACAATGCTTGCCCTTTTGGCCGCCACAATTGCATCCCATTTCTTGCTGTCTTCAAAAGGTAAATGAAAAAAAAAACAGGAGAGTGACCAAGACCTCCAGTTGCATCAGTTATAAACGTCATACGTGCACTGTGCGTTAGGTGTCTGTGGGACAACGAACAGCCACTGGTGTCTGCGGGGGGGGGGGGGGGAGGGGATATGAGTAATGGTGCAGCGGTGCATATTGAGGTGCATGGTGCTGCACTTATTTGCCCCTGCCTGACGAACACATAAAAAACACCTATCCCTGAACGAGAACCGTTCAGAAATATCTCCCACAAACTCATGGGTTTCTGGTCGTCGTTGCCATCCACATTGGTTGCCGGCACATTTTCGAACCTGCCGGCACACTCCTGAAGACTTATTGCAACTCTGGTACAGTGAACGATACGAACGATTCACTTACGCAGTAAATACAAACGGTCTCACAACATATCGTATGCTTAGTTTAGTCGAGTCCTTATTGAAACGTCCAATGCTATTTTAGCGTTTTAAAATGCCTAAAATGAATCCATCAGATAGGTAAATGGTATAGTGAAATTGCCCTTCACGTCCGCGAAATTCGGGCATTTTTAGTAATGCCTAAAATGTTCAACCAGATGGCGCGATAGCGGAAATTTTGCGAGCTAACTGAAATCCGGCAAAACCGAAATGCATACTTTTACCCCAGTCATGCTGGGAAACGCCAAACGTGTATGACCGATCCAGCCTAAAGGCTGTGTTGCACGTTTGTATCGGGATTTGAATTGAAATAGCCATCTTGAAGGGCCTTCGATGCAGTTCTCAATGCCATTCTCAAGACCTAAGGTCGTCTAATTTTTGAGCCGCACGCCCTCGAAGATATGCAGATTAATTTTGTGCAGACTCTTCAAAGGATACCCAGGCATCCATGGTGCCATGAAAACGTCATTCAAATCCTGCTCTTTCATTAACCATGCAGCGATCAAAGCTTATAATGATGTAATGGTCGAGTCGTTCATAAATGGCGTTCTTAACCACGATTTCCAGATACAGCGGCCGTCAACTGGTTCTCATTCACTGGGGTTTGCCAGATGCGATGACGTAACAAAAAAATGACGTATTGAGGGGCACCTTCACTAAACAGAGAATTTGCGTCGTCTAGAGCAGACGTTTCCACTCAAAAGTGCATGCGTATTTGAAGATACTGAAACAAGTATCAGATATGAGGAAATAAGCTCACTGATTACTATTAATATGCTTTCACGGGGAAGAGGCTGCCTTAGAGAACGCAAATTTTCTAGTTGGTAATTATGCTTCTCGATACATCGTTGTTTGATTACGGTATCATGCGTTGCACAACATTGATTGGGAACTAACTGACCGTCCTTTATCTAGAAATCCTGCTCACGAACACCAGATATGAACAGCTTGACAATTATATTGTTCTTGGCCTTAACATTTGCGTGGTCGATGAAATAGCAGCATTCGAATAGCGTTTTTATGGTGCCATAGATGCCAGGGTGACCTTGAAATAGTCTACATGAAATAGTTTGCACACCTTTGCGACTGTGTTCCTAAAAAACTCGAGTAGTTTAGCTGTTCAGACAGGCAGGGCTGTGAACTACACTGAATGTTCTTCAAGATGGCAATTTCAGCTCAAACCCCATACC